GCTGTGGGCCTTGTTGTCAAAGGTGATCTGCTCATGGAAATAAAACAAAAAAAAAAACTATAATTTATAGCTTTATCTTTGACTTTTGCCTGTCACTTTATCTGACACTACCAGTCAGAAGCTTGGGGTCTGTAAGGTTTGATGTTTCTAAAAGAAGCCTCTTCTGCTCACCAAGGCTGCATCTTTTTGATCAAAAATACAGTAAAACAGTAATATTGTGAAATATTATTACAATTTAAATGAGCTGTTTTCTGTGTGAATATATATTAAAATGTAATTTATTCCTGAGATCAAAGCTGAATTTTCAGCATCATTACTCCAGTCTTCAGCGTCACATGATCCTTCAGAAATCATTCTAATATGCTGCTCAAGAATAATAATTTTAAAAAAAATTATCAAGGATGCATTAAATTGATTGGAAGTGGCAGTAAAGACCTTTACAATGTTTCAAAAGATTTCTATTTCAAATAAATGCTGTTCTTTTGAACTTTCTATTCATCTGTGAATCCTGAAAAATAAAATGTTTCACCGTTTCCACAAAAATATTGGGCAGCACGACTGTTTTCAACATTGATAATAATCAGAAATGTTTCTTGAGCAGCAAATCAGCATATTAGAATGATTTCTGAAGATCATGTGACACTGAAGACTGGAGTAATGATGCTGGAAATTCAGCTGCGCATCACAGGCATAAATTACAGTTTAACAGATAATCACATAGAAAACAGCTGTTTTATATTGTAACAACAGTTCTCAATTATAACAACATTTTTTGATCAAATAAATGTAGCTTTGGTGAGCAGAAGATACTTCTTTGAAAAACATTACAAAATTGTAATTCCAAACATTTGACCGGTCAAGTCATGAGAGGGTCATGATCACGTGTTCAGCCAGGGAAAAAACCTGCAAACTTTTCCAGCTGAGAATCCTTCCCTTTTCATCCCACTCATAGGTTTAAAAATATAAGAGGAAATGGAAACAACTGTCATAGATGACCCATAATGCACTGAAAAGTCATGTGACATACCATAATGTCGAAGACATAACAGTCCGGAAGCTCGTGATACTCAACCGTCTCCAGGTTAATGGCTTTCAGAGTGAAATTTACAGTCACTGTCAATAACCTGAAGAACACAAACTGATTCAACAAGATACAGAAAAGGTCTCTCTACAATGTTACGTGCAATATTTACATTGCTTAGTTATTATTTGTGTCACACAACATACAGTATATGATATATAGGACACACCTCTCAAAGTGCAGAGTAAAGTTCAGCGGGTTTGTTGTTAAAGTTGAGAAGGGAGGTACTGGGTAAATCTGCCAACACTCTGAAAGAAAGCAACACAAGATCAGATGTGCAGCGCCACTGCGAAGCCAAGGTTTTCTGTCATCATGACACACATACGTCACCTTCATCCACCTGAGCATCAATGTCAAAGGTCTCGTTGGCTGGTGAGATGCTGCCGTTGCGGTAGAACTGCTGGCAGATGGTGAGCGGAGTGTAAACATCACCTTCCTTCTCATATTGATGGTTGCCCACCGTTATGCTTGGCAACATCAGAAACTGAGGCAAAATATTTCTTGTGAGGCCTTTTCTGAACGGTTTGTGTTTTTTGGAGAAACTTTGAAAGGCCAGTTTGAAGATACATATCTTTAGCCTTGACATCAAGTATCTACATATATGTATCTAAGGATCTACACATGATAAAAAAATGGCATGATATGTATCATTTATATACCATATAACATGTCACCCGTCCCCTCTGTGGGACGCCTAAATTTACTTCACTATATTACAATTAAATCCTAATCTAATCATGACAAACTATATACCGTTGGAAAGGTCTAAGACTCCTAAATAGATATTTTACCAATGTTTTTGTTAAAAATTATGTAGGAAAAGTAATAGATTAATTTATGACAAGAGTGCACCTCAGAAATCTACATCGTAACAGGAGTTCTGACCTTTGTCAAAAAAAGTCTTCTTTGTTGCCTTTTTCTCTATCACACTTTAGAAATCATCAGAAATTATATATAAATTGAAAACTTAAAATCTCAAAATGTATCATTTGAAACCCATTTTAAAATCAAACATTGCATTACCATGAAAATGGTACATCAATATCATGTTACAAAATGTTTTCGTTAATGAATTATAAAAATTTAAGTTTGGATCGTGCACTTTCATGTCTATGTTCAAAAATGTGAGTGACAGTTAAGGGGTTAATATACACTTGTGCAATTTATAATGTTCTTTTGTACACCTTTGAATATAAATATTTATATACATTTTTGCATCTTTTGTGCACTTTTAAAAATAACTATTTATATAGCATGACATTTAAAATACATTTTGCATATTTTTGCACTTTTACATTTAAATATTTAGATAGATTTTTGCATATTTTGTTCACTTTTAAATATAAATATTAATGCACATTTCGCATCTTTGGTGCATGATTTAATAAAAACATTTAGGTGTGACATGCAATGCAATGCAAAAAAAAAATATTTTCGAAGTTGTAAATAAAACAAAGATAATTGGAACACAATTCTACAAGAAAATTCTATTTCGCTCTTTTTACTTCAGGTGTGCGGTCTCTTTGTAATTATTTGTAAAATTTACTAGAAATTTTTAAGCAAAAATGGTTTCAAGGTAAATCCTACACCAGTTTTTTTTTTAAATGCATTGTTTAAATGCATTTTTGTGCATTTATAAACAAATATATATAAAATACATTTTTAAAATACATTTTTGCATCTTAAGTGTATTGTAAATGTAAATATTTATATACACCTTTTAATCACATTTATGCAATTTAATCAAATGCTTTGTGCACTTTTAGATATAATTGGTTATATATGGAATATGCAATTTAAAATACACTTCTGCAAAGTATATTTGGAGGCTGGTTACTCTTCTACCAGGTCACCAGGAAACCATGAGTTTCAGAAGAAAGATCTCAGATCAATCACACGTCATCTGAACACTCACCTGCTTCACGGTGTAGGCGATGTGCGCGTAGACGTCGTGCTGCGTGTAAACGGAGTAAGTGTCGGTGCTGCTGTCGATGAAGCTCTTCAGGAACAGATTCCTGAACGCCATCAGATTCTCCTCCTTAAACTGAACCACCATCTGATTACTGAGACCAAACAACACCAGCTACACACACAAAGAGAGAGCAGTCTGAATTTCACCAATTTATTCTGTTTCGACCAACATTTCTGGCTGTAATTCCTCCTCCTGTGGTGATACCTGAATGGTGACCACAGCGATTTTGACGATCTGCAGTATCAGTTTCCAGGGTTTTCTTCCGCGAGCTTTGTACTTGTCACAGGGGTTCATGAAGAAATACTTGAGCTTCCTCCTGAACTTCTCCTGCTCCTGGTGAGCGTGGGATTCGGACCAGTGGACGGCTCTGTTGCCGTTGGGATCGTTTATGCATAAATAGGCCTCACTGGAGTCGTCCATGTCTGAAAAACCAACACAATCATCTGCCTTAAAACCCATCATTCACATTTATCAGTTTAGGAGATATATTCTTACCGTAGGAAACTTGTCTGTATGCTTGGAATCTAAGATTGAAGTGAGGATGGATCAGGGTTATTATAGTTAAAAGTTAAAACTTACAGTACTAAAATTAACAGAAATCTATTCTAAATTAATCTAAATTAAAAAAGGAGAAAAAAAAAACTCAATAAAATTACTAAAGCAAAATGACAGTGGAAACATAAAATGTGAAAAGTGTATCAGTTATACTAAAATACTATTCTCAGCAGCCCTAAAGTGTATTCATCTATCTTTTTTTTTTTATATATATTTAAAATAATTTTATTAGAGGTCTATTTCATAACTCGTGTGTCTTAAGTTTTTATGTATTCTATAAGATCATTTACAGTGTTACATTAATATTTTGTGCATTATTTACAGCAGCTTTTGCATTTAATTTGCTTTTATAGGTCCTTTTTTTTTTTTTTTTTACATTTCGCCTTTATAGGCCATTAAACTGATTGCACTCAAGTATTTTGGCATAAATTCATAACCCAATCTTCATTTTATATATGGTTAGAAAAAAGTTCAGTAACACAAAAGTACAAAAGCCTTTGAAAATCAATTCCACACACACACACACATATATATATATACATACATACTAGTCAACATTTGAAGTGGATCAAAACCTTTCATCAAAGTTGTCCTAAAACAAAATGCGCTCTTGTCTTAGGACAACTTTGATGAACTTTTTTGATTTGTGTTATATTTAATTTATTATATTTACTTATTATTAAATATGTTATATTTATGTTTCATCTGGCATACATCAAAATATATGATGAAATGTTCTGCATTATTTTCATAAAATATACACTATAGACTATGTTTTTAAAGGTAATAGCATAAATGTTTTTATGCTGTTAGTTACATGTGGCTAAAAACTAAATGCATCTGGCATTATGCCTATTTTTAAATGGCTACAAAAGAAAAACTCTCATAAAGCAAAAAAAAAAATACCCTTGAAAATCAAAATCAGGATGCAAATATTCAATAATGTGTTTCTGTGAAGAGAGAGGCTCCTGACAGTATTAATAGAGAAATCAAAGACGTGCAGTAATGTGGCTCTTCCACTTGTCAAAGGCTGATGGACTGAATCCAGATCATGAATTGATCCACATTCCTGACTGTAATTCTGTTCTGTCACATGACTCTCACGTGACTCCATCACACCTGTGCCATCACAAACTACAATTACACCTTGTGATGCCAGTTTCTCAAGGAAAACATGTTTTTCTCAAGCCTAAGGTGTTTTCTTATTTAAAGAGCATCTGATGTGTTTTATAATCGAACATCACCTGCAAAACCCAAACCTAATGCAGCTGTTCAATGTATTTTTGTCAGAAAGCTTAATAAAATCATAACAGCAGTATTGAAACACACATCAGTAACTCACCAGCAGGTCAAAATCATCAATTAGCTCTCAATCAGGAGCTTAAATCGGCATCAGAAGAGCACATTTATGTCTTTAATCCCAACTAACTTCCATAAAGTCCACAAACACATGAAGTCAATCCGAATTAAAGTGCATTTCAAATGGAAACTGTTGCGTTGTGTATCAGACGCGCTCTGTGCTGACAGTGAGCAGGTGAAGGGGGCGGGGCTAAGCGAGGATTGCGTGCGCGGGCTGTCAATCAAATTAATCCCCGCCTCTGAAACCAATAGCAACCGGATGTTTGGATACCGTTCACGCTGTTTAGTCGGAATAAAGTTGTTTTTTCTATATAACAACGCCATAAATCTCTTAATCAGAGGTAAGATTTGTGAATCATACTGAGATTATATATTAAAAACGTGAATACGGTTGTATGTGGAGCATTGGAATGGTTATGTTACAGTAGGACAGTTTTATATCTCGCTAACGTGTGTATTTACATATTTTAGGATTTTATCTGTATATTATACGCTTGAATTTAACTCCGCTTTGTGTTTAATGATTTTACGGTAGTTTATAAATAATGTTTGGGTTGCTTTTTTAAGATAATCTAGTAATCTGCGACTTTCCGTCATGTTAAAAATTAAAATATAAATAATAAGGATTAAAGTTACACATTTTAAAAGACTGTGAGATTCAACTGTTTGTCATGCTACTTTTCAACACCAGATGTCGCCCATGTATTTTTATTTTTTTTATATTTTTGGGTTGGATTCCAAATGAAACGTTCTCCATCTCAGCAATAAAAACTATTTTAAAAAAATGCATAATTAATTCTATTGAATTTGTAACCCAAATATGTGTTCATCTCAAATAAGGACTCAATAGAAAGTGATGTTGACAACCTTGAGCAAATTGCATTTGAAAAAAAAAAAGTCATTCAGCCTATTCCATGCATACAGTAACTTCACATACTGCAGAAAAAGAAAGAGTATGCTAGCTATTGCACACACAGACTCTGTTTCAGATGAATAGAGCCAATAATCTGAATTAAATCTCTTTTCCACCTGCAGACATGAGTTCAAAGAGACCCAAGAGCAAAGAGGCCCGTAAAATCAAGGGAAAAGGTACAGATATTCTGTCCAAATAAGCTTTAATCCTAATGTAACATTAAATCATTGCTCAGTATCCAAAGCATCTTCCCGGTTTCTAATGCCTTACATTTTCTTGCAGATAAAAAAAAGGAGAATAATTTTCCCACCGCAGATGAAGGTGCATCAGAACCTGGTAAGTGTCTCATATTGATCCTATAAGGGTCATATTTAGCGTTTGTTTGTTTGTAGCATTTTATTTTATTATCTCTGAAGACCACTTACAATGTCAATTGGGGTCTTTTGTACCACAATCAGTCATAATCAGATTCTCAGACCTGTTTAGAGCATCTCTGGATTGTTTCCAGCATGAATACACTCGTTCTTTTCCATTCATCCAGGAGCTGTGATCAGATTAAAGATACTGAGATACAAACGACATGTCTGGAGGCACGTAGCCAGACCTCCTTTCTCTCATCTTTTGTTCTCAGAGTCCAATTTCCTTACTTGTCCTACTCATACAACATACATACTTTTTAGTAGGCTACATATTAGTAGACTGGACTTGTTACCACATCATAAAAATGCATCTTGATATCCTTTTGTGTTTTGTTTGTGTTTGCATTGGGATAAAATCATTACCTGACCTCTTCTGGCCAGAACAAGCTACTGCATCATAACAAACTGCTTCTATCAGTGAAGTTAGGGCCCTAAACCCTCAGTGAAGTCTAACAGGGCTTGTTCAATATCCCAGACAGCTTCCTTTTCATGTTTTCTAAAGGGCACGTGTGTTCGGTTAGTAGAGAAAGTGCAATTATGTAATTATACAGGCTATAAAACCATATGAGTTTCCATTGCAGTAAAGCGCCAGCGGCTCCTCTGGATTAAATGACCTGAATGCTGTCGCTTGTATCAGATGTTAACGGCTACAACATGCTCAGCTGGTTCCTGTTGAGAGAGATTGTGTTGATGAGGTCTGGATTTCCCTCAGGTGTCCAAACCTGTGATGTCACACACACAAAATATAACATGTGAATAGATATAGTTGACCCAAAAAAGTTCACACTGCTTATTTTGTCCTTGTTGAATTTTGACAGCCCCAGTCACCATTCATTAGCATTGTATGCTGTGTGCCGGGTCTTACGTCCATTGGTAGTCTTTCAGGTTCAGTTACGTCACAAATAGCGCTCTGAAGGGAAGCTGATATCTCTGTTTGTATAACACACTCATTCAAGAGCACATCTGTAGGTAAAACACTGGACAAAACGGCTGAGAGCTTTTGGTCGTGTCATACCTGTAAGACAAAAAGGGTGAAAACCCTCAATGCAGGATACTGGAAATGTTCCAAATCATTTTAGGATACAGTGCTTAACCTCCCAATAATGTATTTGTAACTTAGCCTTTAAAACAAAGAAGTCTCAAATGAGATCACTTTAATATCAGTGCTAAGATTAAACAAAGAGCAACTGGAGAATTTCGCTGAGTCTCCACACCAAGTAGCCACCCACAGCACTCTAGCAACTGCATAGAAAGCCCCTGGCAACCATCTAAAGCACTCTAGCAACTGCATAGCAACCCCCTGGCAACCACCCAAAACACGTTAGTGGCTGCATAGCAACCCCCTGGCACCCACCCAAAACACTTTAGTGGCTGCATAGCAACCCCCTGGCAACCACCCACAACACTCTAGCAACTGCATAGAAACCCCCTGGCAACAACCCACAACACTCTAGCAACTGCATAGCACCCCCTAGCAACAACCTACAACACTCTAGCAAGTGCATAACAACCCCCTCTCAACAATCCACAACATTCTAGTAACTACATAGCAACCACCTGGCAACCACCCACAACACTCTAACGACTGCACAGCAACCCTCTGGCAACCACAACACTTTAGCAACTGCACAGAAATCCCCTGACAACCACTCACAACACACTAGCAAATGCATAGCAACCGTCTGGCAACCACCCAAAACACTTTAGTGGCTGCATAGCAACCCTCTGGCAACCACCCAAAACACTTTAGTGGCTGCATAGCGACCCCCTGGCAACCACCCACAACACTCTAGCAACTGCATAGAAACTACCTGGCAACAACCCACAACACTCTAGTAACTGCGCAGCAACCCCCTGGCAACCACCCAAAACACTTTAGTGGCTGCATAGCAACTCAGTGGCAACCACCCACAACACTCTAACGACTGCACAACAACCCTCTGGCAACCACAACACTTTAGCAACTGCACAGAAATCCCCTGACAACCACCCACAACACTCTAGCAAATGCATAGCAACTCCCTGGCAACCACCCACAACATTCTAGGAACTGCATAGCAACAACCTACAACACTCTAGCAACTGCATAGCAACTCCCTGGCAACCACCCACAAAATTCTAGTAACTACATACAAAGTCCCTTTCAAGGAAAGTCCGTTCACTCGGCAGCCATATTTGCAACGCCTCCGGGCATCTCAAACAATACCAAGTCCTATCTAAATGAATGGGGGAATCCTGAAATCTCAAAAACTGCTCGCTGAACTCGCGATTAAATTACATATTTCAAATCCGCAACAAAATCTGAAATGAACAGCCCCATGAATGTTGCTTCTTATGCTCAAATAGTGTTTAAAAAGCTTATTTTCAGGCTAGACCAGCCAATGCGCATGCGTAGTTCCAACGTGCTTATGACTGCGCATCGGCTGGTCCAGCCTCAGGTTTCTATGGGAACCGGAGCTTCTAACAGCCACTGCAGTGATTCAATGACTTTACCAATCAACGATTGGCTCTTTCATTTAGAAGGCGGGACTATCCCGCCATATTGCGCTTTGCAGTTTCTCCCATTCATAAGTATAGGAGTGAACCGTCTTTGTATTTCTATAGTCTTTGCTACATAGCAACCCTTTGGCAACCATCCACAACACTCTAGCAACCAAACTATGAAGCAACCCCCTGGCAACCACCCACAACACAACACTGCATAGCAACCCCCTGATAACCACTCATAACACTCTAGCAACAGCATAGAAACTCCCTCTCAACCAAACACAACATTCTAGCAACTGCATAGCAACACTCTGGCAACCACCCAAATTGTATATTCATTATTATATACCTGATCACAGTGACTCCACCCCTCACAGATCATCCCGACTACATCTTCCCACTGGTCCTGACCTCTGCCACACAGGAGCTGTTTGGTTGCCGGTCAGATGAGGATTTAACCGGAGAAAATCCTTACAAGCTGCTGAAAAAAGAAGACATCATACAGGACATGAAAACCAGAGCGTCCGTGTCTGACTTCAGCCCCATCAAACAATTAGTGCTGGTAAGATTCAGAAACACATTCTGAATCGATTCTTGAGCTGAAGAAGATTCAAACCTCGGCAGATGGAGCTGGTTTAGAGTAGCCTAGTGGTTAAAGATCTGTTTCAGAATGTTCAGACCCTGAAAGGAATTCTATTCATTTTCTGCAGGACTACCCTGAAGATGAACTTCTGCTGGTGTTCGACAGAGACTTCATATACGGACAGAGCTTCTATCTGGTGCTCACAGTCGAGGCCAAAGAAAAGAGGGATAGATAGATAGACAGACAGACAGACAGACAGACAGACAGATGGATAGATGATAAATAGATAAACAGACAGACAGACAGACAGATAAACAGACAGACAGATAGATAGATAGATAGATAGATAGATAGATAGATACGGACAGACAGACAGATAGACAGACAGACAGATGGATAGATGATAAATAGACAGATAGATAGATAGATAGATAGATAGATAGATACGGACAGACAGACAGATAGACAGACAGACAGATGGATAGATCATAAAAAATGCTAAAAAAAAAAAAAATGTAATCCACCTACCTATGTATGTGTGTACTGCTAATGCCTATATTATGGCCAGTGTTGGGAAGGTTACTTCAGAAATGTAGTAGGTTACAGATTACAAGTTATAGTTATCTAAAATGTAATAAGTAACTTTTTAGTTAATTCTGTTCTATAAAACAGTTACACAGCATCTTAATAATATCCTCTGAGAAATACCTTCAGTCTCCATGAAGCACATCCTAGTATTTCCTGTTTTTGAACACAATGCTTACTATCACTATGAGCTGAATCACTGACACACTTTACCACAAGCATCTGATACCCTTAACCTACAGCTACTGTTGTGGGGAAATGCTTTATTTAATAATTCATGGTCAAATTAATTGACACGGTTTTATACATTGGCAGTTCACTAGCATACATAGAATGTGGACTGGCATAAAATGGATTTAACATCCAGTTGTTTATAAGTGCCTTTTCTAAATGCAGTCAAACCCAACATTTATTCAGACACCTTCAACATTTCTCACACTATCACAGTTTATTCGCTATAGTTTAGAAAATGGTAATAAAATATGACAAGAACTCAGAGTTAAACTGTGTCAGAACAAATTCATCTCGATAATGCTGTCCTTCTGTTAGAGTCTTTGTACCCTGAGTCCGAAATTCTCGTCCAAAATTTTCGCACATTAAAAAATAAACACGATGTGATAAATCAATCACATTTACACAATGCCTCCGAAACTTTTATGCGCCATAAAAAATTCGGATCAGGTTCGATTTTCTGCGTTTTCGCATCCGTAGCAAGCCTTTTGATAGAAAAGGATCACGAAAAAACACATACGAAAATTTCGGACTCTGTGTGCAAGGACCTTTAGACTGTGTCACATATGAATTAGGTTGAATAGCTGTCAGCTGTTACATTTAAGTACACAATTAAATAATACCAATTTAGGTCCACCAATTACCAAGCAATGATTAATTTTGTTCAGTCTGTGGTGTAAAAAGGTTGCATTGGCAATTAAAGAAAAACACTTAAGCAAAACATGGTCAGGTCAAAGTGTCTGAATAATTTTTGGTCCCAAATTTGATAAATTTTACTGGTAGTCCACTGTATGAAGAATTTTTGGGTATAATATGTCACAATTTACTTTATTTTGCTATCCTCACTTACATAAATGAACTATAGTGTCCTGCACCAACTAGTAAAACATATATAAAAAATTATATCTGGTGTCTGAATAATTTTTGGTTTGACTGTAGATAGATAGACAGATAGATGTTAACCAGTGTTCAGTTGTGTTTGTAGCCTTTAGTACAGGGTGATGATGAAGAGCAGATAAAGCATGAAGAGGAGGAGGAGGAGGAGATGATCATACCAAAAACTCCAGAGTCTCACCCATGGATCTCTCTGGGAAGCGAGCAGGAGATCGAGGAAGAGTCAGTCACAGAGTCCAGACCCAGAGTAAGCCAGATGCATCATGGGATATTTATCAAAGCCATTCCTGATCTCATTTATGGGGCATAAGCTCACCTGTCTGTCTCTCTGTCCAGCTCAGGTATAAGATCTCTCCTCTGCTGCGGCGCTGTGGTGCTCCGGTGTGTTTCTCCGACCGCAGCGCTCTGGACGGGAAGGAGGGATTCATGGAGTGCCCGTCATACCAGGACAAGAGCTTCAGCATCAGAGAGATGGAGAGACACACGGCCATTCAGGCCTCCAGCGACACCAAACACTCATCCACTCAGACACTGTGGTACAAACACCTCTCAACTCTCTCTCTGAAGTTTGTTCTGAAAGTTTAGTTAGCAGATGGAACATATTTATATCCCATGATGCATGCATTACAGGAAGTACCCAAGGAACATGTGGACCCAGTACGAGTCCCGAAAGTTCGGCCCGGAGGAGAAAGAACATCACCTGCGATCAGAAAACCTGAAGAACTTCATCACATCTGTACTGATAAGGTAGGACGAGGAGAACGTGACATCTCTGAGGTCCCACAACTCACTTCATTAGTCCAACGCAATCGCTTTGTTACTACGTTAGCACGGTATTGTGTGTTAATGTATTCTGAACTCACCTGATGTCCCGCAGGTTTGAAATCTCCCTGCAGCAGAATCACATCACTGATGTTTTCTGTGACGACTGGACGGCACTGTGTGAGGAGGACGGCGCGCTGACGGGGAAAACAGAGACGCAGCTGAAGGAATATCAGTCCTTCATGGACCTTCACTTCAGCAAAGAGAAAACCATCAGCCACATCCACTGGCATCCCACCATCAGCGGTCAGCACGAGCTACACTGTGGACAAATTAGGATTAATATGTCATTTTAGTAAAAGTAAATAAGTAAGCAATCATAAATAAGTTTAATAAATAATTAAACAAAAATAAATAAATAAAATAGCCTTAGTACAAAATAAAATAAAATAATTAAAATGCAAAATAATATAAAACATCCATATCTACGGAGATGACATGCAAGAAAAAATAAATAAATCGTGGGCACGATTTAAAAATTCGTTCCCTTGATGTACTAAAACGTGCACACGATTACTATGTCGTTCGCTCGATTCGCTAAATCATGAGCACAATTTACTAATTTGTTCTCTCGATTTATAAATCGTGCGCACAATTTATAAATCGAGGGAACAAAACAGTAAATCGTGCACACGATTTAGCCTACTATTTTTTTCCTGAATGCCATGTGCGGGGCTCCATACATATCAGGAAAAAAACAGCCATAATGCAAAAACAAACAACAAAAAAATCCATAGTGCTATATAAAATTAAATAATTAAAATGTAATAAAATAAAATAGCCATATTGCAAACAATACAAATAAAAAAATAAAATATCTATAGCGCAAAATAAATTAAAACAGCCACTGTGCAAAAAA